GGCTGGGGTTTCAGCATCAGTGTCTGGATGGTGTGCACACGAGCGGCCAAGGGCCGAGGGTCGACGGACCAAAGTTCAGAAAAGTTTAGAAAAGCAAAGAAAGATTTCAGTTTAAGCTCTTATATACTGATGCCATGATATCGTTATTATATATGCTGTTTTATTCAGTACTGGTCTTTGCGGAGCATAGTGGTTTGCTCATGCCCCCATTGTGTTTTTCAGGAGACGGAGTCGAGCGTTCCGGATGAGCACAGACGTGGCAAAGCATGGTCATGAGAATCTTGGACATTTTTACGCGCATTTTATGTCCCAGTATTTATGATCATGTATCATTCAGATATGTATGCATGTATTTTCTGTATTCGGATGCTTCCGCTAGCAGACTAGACAGTGCGAGACAGTTCAGACATCGCATGTTTAATTTCATTATCCGTAGTGGATAGTTTGGTTGCATGTTTTATATATGTCAATGAGCAAGTTAAGTAAGTTTTAATCTGTGACATCCCGCAATCAGTTAGTATTTTCGAAAACCAAGCTCGCACGACCTTTTAAAAATAAAAGCGAAAATTTTACTTTGATTTTTCAAAGCTAGTAAGGCGGGGTGTGACAGAAGTTGCTATCAGAGCGCAGAGTGCGTTTTTGTACACTTTCAAAGTTAGAAAAGCATGACCACGACACACTCATCCCGCACCGACTCCGAGGTAAGTTACCTGACTCAGTTTAAGTTTTGCAAGTGCTAAATTCAGTTCAAGTATGGATCCTAGATAACTATCCTCCTGTAAGACAGATAACTCTAGAGACAGAACTCTAGAGTGATCTAAGTCCAAGGACTCTAGATTAAGTCAGAACTCTAGCCAGAACTAAGCAGACTTGAGTTAAATTATAACTCTAGAGATTGTCGTATATCGAATTTGGCAAGTGCCTTAAAAGCAAGATTATGTAGTAACGGATTCAGCGTATAAGAGTCACTATGTCGGGATACCATGGCGGCTTGAAATAAGAGTCACTATGCCGGGTATATCATGACGGCTTGAAATAAGAGTCATTATTCTAGGTTACCCTGGAGGCTTGAAATAAGAGCCACTTAGCCGGGTATACCATGGAGGCTTGAAGCTGGACCGGAGCAGTATAATTTCAGATGTAAGAACCTTTAGAGTCAGTAAGTCGGGTATCTTACCAGTTAGATACTCTGAACAGTAGTTGGCAAAGTTTGAGATCAATTATTTTGTATAGTACTTACGGGACCAGTTGATACTGGAACTGCCCGACATAGTACATAGTCATAAGCCAACGTTCATTAGTTTAAGGTCGGCGTATAATAGTTACTAGCAAGGTAATATATGGAGATCTGAAGTACATATCATTAGTCCAAATTTACCTGGGAACTTGAAGTCAGACCTTATCAGATCACAACAAGACAGTAAGCATTATGTTCCAAAACTCCGAGACAACTAGTTTAATATCTCGGGAGCACTTCCAGAGTCAAGTAAGAGTTATCCAGTTATGTGAAAGTTGAGGACAGTCCGTCTAATAAGACAAGACTTATAGTTATTCCTCGCAAGTATATCTAGTACCTCGATTCTCGAATTCAGAAAATTTGAGAAATCGCAGGAAAGATTATTTTTCAGTAGATTTTTCTTGAGGTTAGTATAGCCTCAGGGAAGGTGAGTACTATCATATCTTGCATGTCGATTTATGACACATTTTTTCGCGCGTGATGTGGAAGACTTTTCAACAACAACAGACAATGTCGTGGTGACAAATCGATGCCTTCCATACGAGGAGGTACATCGCGAGAGGGAAAGAAGTTATATCTGAGTCACAGTACGTTAGGAGATTACAGAGAGATAACATTATAGTACGGTGAGGTTACTAACATAAAGATACAGATACAATCGAAAATGTGAGTACAAACTACACCGACATCGCAGGTGCAACGTTCGCTGGTGCTGCATGCAGGCGTGCCGAACTCAGGAGATGAGGAGCAGGTGTGCCGCATTGCAACGTGCCGCGACGTACCGCGTCATCGGGTAGGTATTCGCTAGGGGTAATTACCAAAATTGCTAGTTATTCTCATTTGTACATGTTTGTTATTCCAAAGTATCCCGTGCGTACTGTAGTGACTTGGGTCTCACAATCGAATTCTATTCGGAAGATCGACAGTTGGCCAATGGAAGGAAATGAGTTCTTTTCTGGATCTACGAGAAGCATGTGAGAAAGAACTAGCCATCAAGATATTCGATTTCTTAAATCGATTAAGCCACGCGCTAAGTACAAATTGACCTATTTTAGGAGGTCAGAAGTACTCAGTTACAACCAAAAGCACCAAGAGCTAGTTAACCGGAACTCTAGCCAAGCTAGGTGTTTTCGGCAATTCGATAACAAATCCGCTAAGACTTGTGTAGCTATTTCTTAATGGTTATACTGCTCAAGTCAAATGGTTAGTGGTGTACAGATTATCGTCGGGGAGAGCTTCGAAACCCCCATCCACTGAAAGTTAAGAAGACAGTCATTTTATAAATGACAACTAGAACTCAATGTGTAATACCCCGTTTTATTGTGGATTAATTGGGAATAAATATTTATTATTGTTATGTTTAAATTGTCTTTATTATTATTATTATTATTATTATTATTATTTGTGCTAAATGCTTAAATGTTATTTGTGTGTATTATATATGATTATTATACAATAATAATTATGGTGTATTTTAAATATATATATATATATATATTATATTTTGATTTATTTTGATTTACCGTTTGATCGAACCATGCGATCGAACCGAGCCCGAAATATTATAAGTTTTGAACCAAGAGTTAAACTCGGTTCGCATGCACCACCTTAAATGGTCTCTTCAAAATTTTAAATGGCCAAAGTAATTAAGGGATTCAATTTCTTAATTATTCTTTTAATTATGGCCATAATACTCAAAATTTGAAACGTCTATCTTTATCTCTA